CTTTGGGGGGGGGGGCTGGGTTAAGCCCCTTCCCATTTCAGGAGGGGGGGGAGAGCTGGAGCAGCTGAGCCCCCCCCCCCCATCTCCCCCCAATGCCAGGAACAAACAACCCCTTTCTTCGCCGGGGGGGGGGGGGGTGGCCCTGCCCGCCCCCAAGAAAGGGTCTCCGCTGGGGGTCCGGCCCCAGCCACTCTCCATCTCCTGGCCGGCCATCCCCGGCCTTGGGCCTCCACCCAACGGCCTGTTCTCCCTGGGGCCTGGGGCCTGGCCCACACCTTCAAGGAAGGCAGCTATGGGGTGGTGGTGGCGTTGGACCTTTGGGGGCTGCTCTGGGGGTGAAGAGCCCAAGATGAGATGGGCCCCCTCTTTTGGGGGCCAGGGACCAAACACTTCCTGGCTCAGCCTCTGGGGAGGGTGCGTGCGTGTGTGTGCGTGTGTGGTATGTGCATTCATCATGGCCAGTGTCCCGTATTGTGTTCCCGGTGGGGGCTGCGGGCAGGAAATTCCGGCCTTCCACCCAGCCAGCCCTGACTGACACTCCACCAGACCTCTGTAAAGATTCCCCAATAAACGGTACCAAATGGCTGCAGAAGTCTCTTTACGGGCACGGGGGGGGGGGGGGGACCCCCCCCCCGGGGGGCGGGGCTGCCATCTGGTGCCACCCTGGCTGGCAGAAGAGGGGCAGAGCTCCCTCCCAGTCCTGCCTGACGGTGGGGCCCCGCCCCTTGGCTAGGCCCTTCCCCCTGCTGCTGCTGTCAAAGGCAACTCCCACCCGGAGGGACAGCGGCTGCCAGGGAGGAGGAGGAGCAGCTGGGAATTGCTGGTCACAGATGTGAATGTGTGTGCGTGTGCTGCGGCTGCCCCCGGAGCCAAGCCCGCCCTGGGCTGCCTCGGCAGGCTGAGGTCATGGGGCAGTCCTGCTCTGCTGCAAGGGGGGCAGGTCAGGCCAGTCCCATTCAGAGGGGCTGCTGGAGCTTGGTTCCTTCAGACTGAGGAAGGGAGAGGAGGCCCCGGGGGAGGGGGGAGCATTTGGGAGGACAGCAGCCAGCAGGAATTGCCATGCGTGGTTCATGACCCAGGCTGCAGGTGGCCCATCTAGGGCAGGGGCCCCATCGCTCCTCCGCATCCCTTGGACCAACTGCTCTCACAGAGGGGGGTGTCTAGCATCAATAACTAAAGACTCAAATCTCCTAGGCCAGATCCAGGGCTGTGTGTGTGCGCGCACGCAAGCACAACAGTCACTTCATGTCTGGTCCCCCTTTGCAGCCTCGCTCATTAGGTGCAGCCAACCACCCCTCGTAGCTCCTCATTCTCCAGGATCAGGACGGAGCCTCCCCCTGTCTCCTCTGAGCCCCTGGGTTTCTCTTTCCCAAAGGAAAATTTTTACTTCTAAAGCAATTCTACTCTGGCATACTTAGCCCACAACTGTCCCCGTTGAAGGTGTTTCTTAATTTGCTCTGATCACGGCTAAGAACAACTTTGTAGGTTGCCCATGTCCTTCTCAGAGGATTGATTTATTCGACAAGACAGGACGAGAAGCAACAGATGGAAACTAGTCAAGGAGACTAGAATTAAGGAGAAATTTCTGTCCAGGTGAACAGTCAGTGGAACGGCTTCCCTGAAGAAGTTGTGGATGCTCAAACCCTGAAGGTTTTAAAGAAGAGACTGGACAACCACCCGGAATAGTACAGGGGGGAGTCCTGTTTGAGCAGGGCGTTGGACTAGATGGCCTCCAAGGTGCCTTCCAGCCCTAGGAGTCTTATGTTCTGTTCTCTGGTGCGGCCAAGGCTTCCTCAGTCCTCCCAGCGTGTGTGTTTTGGTATTTAATCCTCATTCACTCTTGTCCAGAAGTGAGTCGCTTTGACCTCGACGCCGGTCCATCCCCTCCTTGAGCAGCACAGACATGTTAGCAGCCCAATTTTCTTTACCATTATCTTCAGATCCAAATTCCTGTTTGTATCAGGAATTTAACCTTTACTGCATAGCAGATACTTAGCCAAAACAGGGCATTGCCCATGTAGAAATGCCCGCCTACAACGAACGCACCTCTATGGTCACCACAAGCCACCTGTGCACTTCTCCAGCATGACCATCACACCTTTTCCTGGGTGCGATTCCTAATCCCTTCAATTTCCCCATATGATTCCACGCACCGTACTGAGCAGTCAACCACCTGCCCACAAAGCCTTCCTGCATCAATGCAGTTCATTTATTAACAGCATGAGAATCGGGTATCAACTACAGAAATCGAACGGCACCAACAGAATAAAATGGAACATATCCCCCCCATGGTGAAATTAAAGTATCAATGGAAGTTGGAGGAGGCAGGGACAATGCAGCGGAGCACAGCTAAATGCCCCTGGCAGTTGTCATCCAGGTTGGTTGCTGTCCCAGAGCTTCTTGGAAAACAAGCAGAACCAGCCCGGCCAGCCTTCAGGTCCCAAAACTCTTGGAGCAAGAAGGGGCCGGGCCCACCCAGAGAAGACCAGTTCCCAACTGGGCAGGCCCCAATTAGGCCCTTGAGGCATCTGACCTTGGAGGCGGGTCCCTGGAAGGGAGCCATAAAGAGACACCCACCCACCCCCGCCGCAAGAGCTGTTCTTTGGTAGAAGGGTGTTAGGTCTGCTCACAGCTTGGGCACCCAATCTGGCTCAATGCCAGCTTCCAAGGTTGCTGCTTGTGGTGGGGGGACTTGCTGTAATCAAGCTGAGTGGCAAGGAGGCCCAGGTCACTGTCTAGGGCTCCTGGGTCATAGCGAGAACCGCTGCCACCTGCTCCTCTAAATTGAGGGTCAGGAAGCTTTTCCTGTTCCAGGCACATCTCTTCGCCTTCACGGGTCTGGCTGGGCTGGCAGGTAGGTCTCCAAGCCAAGCAATGTGATGGCCATCGGGGAGGCTGCCCAAGGGCTGCCACTGCCCCAATCTGCTACCCATCATTCTGTTCTTAGCTTGCAGAGATACAAAAACAGGCGGTGGGCTGAATTGTGCCTGCAGGCTGCAAGTTGCCGACCTCTAAACGAATAGAAGTACAAAGAGTTTTCATAACACTTACTAAAGAGCAAAAATCCAGTCATGATCGCTGTCTTCCAGTACTGCTGAAGGGCTGTCGGGGCCTGGATTTATTCTTCATAGCACCCGAGGGAAGGTGGAAGCTGATGAGAGAGAGATTCAGCCTGGAAATGGGGGATTTCCTGACAGAACCATTAGTGGAACTACTTTCCTCCGGAAGCTGTGGGTGCCCCATCACGGGAGGTTTTCAAGAAAGGATCGGGCAACCATGAGTCTGGGACGATATAAGGATCTTCTTACCTTGGGCTAGAAGACTCCAAGGTCCCCTCCAGGCCTCAAATTCTGTAATTTCGTGGTCTGCAGACTACCAGCCTGGCATATGAAGTCGTCTCTCCTCTCATTTCAGTCATGATCTCCTTCAGCTGGAATTTTGCTGAACATCCTTGCGGGGCACACAAAACAAACACATCTCCACATAGGCGTTGCATTCATTCTAGATATTGTTCCATTATACCAAAGGAAAATTGCTTGCGTTCTTCTAATTGCCAGACACAGCTACAACCACACAATCAGACAAGTTGCCAAGGCGCCGCCTACGTGAATCACCCCCATGTTTTAACATTTCAGTAGTTACAGCACCCTCAGCCTTATAGTTTTTCAGCATTTTAAAAGCATTTACAACTTTCTTTCCGTGCATTTTTTTCTTGAGAGACTAACGTTTTGATTCCATTCTCCGAGGATGCATCTCATGCCTTCCATCCTCGGCCCAGATCACTGTTACTCTTCCCTGGACACGGCAAGCCTTTCAGAGGGTTTCCTTCGCAGACCCCTCAGGCCCTTCAGGAGGACAGAGAAAAGGCTCAGAGATGCCACCCGTGTTGAATTGCAGTCAAGCACCAGGAATTCACCACAGGAAATGTTTTATGACATTTCGCACTGTTCATAGAATGTTTTATAACATTTGGCAAATTTCAGTTCCATGGCTTCCAAATTTTGGATGCATTCGGTGAAGTTAGCCCATTTGAGGCTAACCATTGTTCAAAAACGTTGCCGGAGGTCGCACCATCCTACAGCCTGGTGAAATCGCAGACAGAAAGGGGAGTTTTACAGCATTCAGGTTCCATTCCGTTCTGTTGGAGAAACCCGGTTGGTCTTTCCTGGGCCGTTTTTTTCCCTCTCAGTGCTTCTCTGCATTTCTCCTCCTTGAATCTTTGGACCCCCGTTCTCCTCTCCTGCCCTCCGACCCCACAATCTTCGTCTGGAGAAGCACCTGCTCTTCTCATCCGGGGCCGTTTCCCTCCCTCGTCCAAGCCAAGCGAGAGGCCGCGAAGGCGGTCTAGCCGGGCAGCCGAGCTCCCACACAGCCACCGGAGGGTCCGCTCCTCCAACAGCCTCTCCGGGGGACCCTCGGCGGCTCTCCTATGTAACCGGGGCCGCTGCCGGCCTTAGGGGAGTCTTGGCCGTTGCTCGCCGGCCAAGCCCCCCGGGAAGCCGCCCGCGGGAACCCAACGCGAGCTTCCCCTCTCGGGAAGGGGAGGGCAGCAGCCAGGCAAGGCAGGACCCGGCCGGAAGTTGACCCCCCACAGCCGAGACCAGAAAGGAGCCGCCCCGCTGCAGCTGGCCGCGGACGGCGGATTTGGTGTCGGCCGGGCCAGCGACGCAGGCAGGGCGGGCGGGGCGCGGCCGGCGGGCAGAGCGCCCTAGAACTGGCCCAGCGAGGGAGGGAAGGCGATGCCGGCCTGCAATCGACGACGCCCCGAGAGAAGCTCGAGCCTTGCCTGCGGCTTCCGCCGGACGTCCCCCCGAAGAAAGGTCGGGCGCGGCCCTTCCCGGGAACCGCCCCGCCTCGTTTCGCCTCCCTGGGCAGGGGCTCGCGCTTCCCGAAG